ACAGACGAGTGAAGAATCTAAAACCGTCAAATTTCTCATGGTCCGCAGCATCTTTACTGATCTTCACCGACTCTTTGATCTCCTGAATCTTCACTCGTCTGTTCTGGATCATCTTCTGAACTTCATCCTCTGTCTTCCTCAGCTCTGCCTTCTTTCCTTCAGTTTCTTCTCTCAGAGGAACAAACTCGTGGTTCTTATGGTCCAAAACAGAACAGAGCAAACAGACACATGTCTGGTCGGTCCTACAGAACAGCTCCAGAGGTTTATCGTGCTGCAGACACATCCTGTCCTCCAGGTTCTCCACAGGCTCCATCACCTGATGTTTCTTCAGACCTGGAGTTGTCAGATGAGGCTCCAGGTGAGTCTGACAGTAGGAGAGGAGACACACCAGGCAGGACTTCAGGGCCTTCAGTTTGGTTCCAGTGCAGACGTCACAGGGAACTTCTCCTGGTTTGGCAGCTTGTTGCTCTGAGCTGCTGCTGCTGCTGGCTTCCTGCTGAGCTTCACGTCTGAACTTAGCAACCATCTCTTTGATGAAGGTGTTGACCTTCAGCTGAGGTCTAGAGGTGAAAAGTTCTTTGCACAGAGGGCAATTGTAGAGAACATTTCCATCCCAGTGCTGAGTGATGCAGGCTTTGCAGAAGTTGTGTCCACATGGTGTGCTGACTGGATCAGTGAAGACATCCAGACAGATGGAGCACAGGAACTGATCCTCAGACCGCAGGTTGCTGCTAGAAGACATGTCTGAACTCTGAGGACAGAATAAACAGTTTAAACTCTTTATATAATGTTGTTAAATTTTACAGTTCTTTATAATCATTCATTTCTTCCTTTTTACTACAGATTTATTCTGGGTCCCTAAGAAAAGTCTCCAGCTTCCTGTTTGTCCTTAAAGGGGAACGCCATTTTTTTTTTTTACATTGGCCCCTTGATTTTACATTATTACATCATGTTCTACTCACCTATATGAGTTTTGTGTTGTTTGGAGCCGTTCTGAAGATATTCCGTTAGGTTATATCCAAGAAACATCTTCTTATGGGCAACGAGTTGAAGTCACAAACTAAACTGTTTATAATTTATCATTTATGTACGCCAGCATTCATAACATGTAGGCCAATCACTGTCCCCCAGAGATCCGCAGTTATATTTTTTATATTTATATCTTTCAAAAATGAAGCGTCACATGTCTGACGTCATCCGCGCTCCGGACTGGAGTTGTGACAGGCAGCCCGGGTCACAGGCAACTACGCTCTACCTTCTTCTATTCATTCTAGCTAATCTGAATTGTTCATTTGGAGAGCGAGATCATCTGTGGTAGCAGCACTAGACATCTTCCAGGCATGTGAGTAGAACTAGCAGTAGTTCAGTGGACAGGATGAATGAACGGTAGCTGGCGCACGCGAATGACGTCATACATGTGCCGCTTCGTTTTTAAAAGTTATAAATATAAAAAATATAACCGCGGATGTCTGGGGGATAGTGATTTGCCTACATGTTATGAATGGTGGCGTACCATAAATGATGAACAGTTTAGTTTGCGCCTTCAATTCGTTGCCCATAGGAAGACGTTACTTGGATATAACCTAACGGAATATCTTCAGAACGGCTCCAAATGACACAAAACTCATTCTAGTGAGTAGAACATGATGTAATAACGTAAAATCAAGGGGCCAAACGTAAAAAAAACGGCGTTCCCCTTTAAAGCTGTACGTAGAAACTACTTTAAACTGTTTTCTGCTTCACTCACCAGAATCAGAGTCTGTTGTTGGGAAGAAAAATGTGAACTTAGTTCGTCTTCAGGAGGAACAGGGACGTGTTTTTCTATGGCAGCTCAGGCTTTATTCTGACAAACTTTCACTTTAATTTCTGCAAAGTGACGTTTTAAACTCAGTGCTGCTCCTCCCATTACCTTTGAAACACACAGATTCATA